CGGGGTACTATTGTATTCTTAAAAAGATAAATGACGCGTTATCCATAAATGCGCATGTATATGTTGGCATTCCCAATCCATCTCTTTTTTTTTTCTTTGCCATTAGTGGTTAGCTACTTCTATTATTCCATTTATTAACATTAAATAACATTACTTAAAACATATATATTAATTTTTTTACATTAATTTTACTACAGCTACAACCAGGGTCATATTTTCTTCATTTTCTCGTGTACAACTATCGTCCCGGACTCCCGGCTGTAAACACACACGAAAACAATGGCGTCCAATATCCTCATGTGCCCATATTATTATTCATTTATATTGTATAAGGTGCACTCAGAAACATTATTTAAAGACTATAGTTTGCAATTTTCATTAATTGTATTGTTTTGGGGGGAAAGGAGGTTAAAAAGCCACACAAAAGATATGAAAAGGTCACACTTGGGAATGCATCTCATTATTATTGCTTTATTTTAATGGTAACTAATGATTCGCGATACGATGATTCACCTTACACTGCAATATTGGAGGACACATTACCATCGTTATTTGAGGCTTTACTGTACTTGCTTTTTCTAGGGATAAGTATGGTGCACAGTGATACAAGAAACTCATAATATAAACACCAAGGTAATTATAATTATCATCAGTAAGGGACACTGCATCACCTAAGGAAATCAGCAATAGAAGCGATTCAATGAAGTACAGCGAGTTCTGCTATAACGCGTGTTTTGATAACGCAAATTTGCTCTAAGGCGATTTATGAATAGAAGAACGATATTTGTATAACGCGAATGCTTGTTTGCTGTAACGCGATTTTTGCTTACTATTTCTCCAATTTTGTGGTATTAACTGTGAATATGGTAAAGAAGAATATCTCCAAGAAGCGTAAAAGAAAGGATATAACACTTGAAAAGAAGCTCGATGTTATCAACCTCAAAATCACCCTTCACCCCCATCAAGTTATATTCATATTTTTTCAAGGTAGAGTGTTACATTTACTGTATGATTTCATTATTAGATATGAATGTAACATTTATTTAGACTGTGCTATCCTTTGTGTTAGGCTAACTACTAATTTTTTTTCGATTTCGAGTAGTAATCTGCACCTAACCCTATTTTCTCCATAAGCCCTCTTATTTCTATTACGTGATTTTCTACAACACGATATTTTACAAGAACACAACTATCGCGTTATAGCAGAACTGACTGTAAGTCGATCTTTTGCACACTGATAAAACTGAAGACATACCAAATAATAACAGTACAGTATTAGGCTATAATAATAAAATAAGATACAAAACAAAACATTAGAAATATAATTAAACACACATTTAAATATCATTTATGGATATGTATGCTACAAGGGGTCCCCGACTTACCCCAGCCGATACGAACGGGGTTAAACTTGAAATTAACAGCATTTTATTTACCTGATGAATTAGTTTTTACTTTCATTTTCTGTATTTTGTCATTCTTTTTTTTCTTTTCTCTTAAAGTAAGTGATTTTTTTATGTATATAAAGTAGTAGGTAGTAGGCAGCTATCAAACAGGGAGGTTCTACCACCTGGAAAGATATTGGAAGCATAATGTAATGCCATATGGGATCACAAAAATTGTGACCAAGTCCCAGGTTGCTGATCTGACTTTCTGCCTCATTTACACACATTTGCAGGGTCTTAATTGTTTCTCTTACTATTGACAACACAGCATACATACAGTGACCCCTCGGTTAACGAACTCAATCCGTTCCAGAAGGTCGTTCGTTAACCGAAAAGTTCGTTAACCGAAACCATTGTTTCAATGGGTTTTTGGGTAATTGGTTCCAGCTCACCGAAAATTTCCTAAATTCAACAAAAATGGTAGAAAAGTTCACTTACTTTGAGGGGTGTATGTAGAAGGCTCCTGGATGATGATGATGATGATGATGATGATGATGATGATGATGATGGGATTTAGAATGGGGGTGGAGGAGAAGGAAGAAGAGAAGGCATTGGGGTGGAAGAGAAGTCACCCCATGGCGCCATTTCACCCATAAAATTTTAGCTCTCTTGGTGTAATTCAAGATTATTTTCTTTAAATCAACACTGCACTGCATTATATATTGTCAATATGTAAAATATATTTCAAAATGACCAATAATTTGCTTGGAAACACAGAAAAAAAGCATTTAGTTGAAGAGAGTCTCAAGCAAGATGTTACCTCCAGTGAAAACAGAGAGAGACTAACGCCTGTTTGCTGTGTTAAGAGGCTGGATGCTGCGCATTAAACTAGTCACTTTACCTTCAATTATGTTCAATAATTGTTAAAATGACTAAAAAATTAAATATTAAACTTATAAAATTTTTGAATAGTATAAATTTCTTGATATTTACTAAAATAGTAGGAATTTAAGCCCTAGAACCGATTAATGTATTGGCGGACTGATACTAAAGCTGGTTGCCCAGTCAGTGCAAGCGAAAACATGTTGAGGTCGGTTCGTAAGAAATTCGTTAACCGAAATTTCGTTAACCGAGGCGTTCGTTAAACGAGGGGTCACTGTATAGTGTTTCTCACTTTGGATCTTTTTTTTTTTACATTTTGGTATTTCTTTATGGCTCTTTAATATTATTATTATTATTATTATTATAATTATTATTATTATTATTATTAAAGTGTTGTTGTTATTATTATTATTATTATTATTGTTATCATTATCATTTAATTATTTTTATTTTTTTATTATAATTTTATTTATTATGAATTATTATTTTTACTGTATTATTAAATTTTCGCCTCCCAGGCCCCAATGCCAGGGTAGGCTAATCCCTGTATAGGTACTCCTGAGCATGGTGATTTTGAATATGAGGTCCACGATTCGACTGCGGAGTAATTAGTGATTTTAATTACGCTTGGAAAATTTAATGTGGTGTTAATGTGTTATTCTGTAAGTGCTTAAACCCCTTAAATTTTAATTGTGAGAGAAAAGTATATTTTGGTCAAAAAATTACTAAGGTGTAAGGCTTACATTTTTGACAGTTTTGGCCCAAAATTAGATTTTGTTGAAAATCACATTATAGTAGGCTCTTGCCAATAACAACTTCCACAATAATGTTTTCGACAATAACGGTAAGTTACAAAAGATACCCATTGTCGATAATAACGTCTGGATTCTCATGAATAACGGGGATTTTGCGGGAAGCGTCCAAGCGCATCAATGATAGCGTGTTTGCCGCCATGTTGATGACATAGTTGTCCGCTCCGCCTCACTCTCACACACGCTCCGTGGAATAGAGCGTTGCCTATGGGGGTTAGGGGAGGTGGTGGAGGGAGTGATTTGCCGCTTGAACGCCTGGGAACTTTTAAAGTGAATGAGAAAAAAGACCCCAAAGCTAAGAGACAAAGCCACAAGAAGCATGCCTACTCGGTCAAGGATAAAGAACAGATTGTTGAGTTCATTGAAAGTGGTGCACGGAACATTGATATTGTGAGGAAATTGAACTGTCCTGAGTCTACAGTGCAAATTATTAAGAGGAACTTAAAGGAGACCAAGAAGAGTATTGCGCCGGCTAAGAAATATTTCGGTAGTGATGGAAATGCGAGGAGAGCTGTGAATGATAAAAGTGATAGAAACAGGTTGTTAGTGATAACAGCAAATTTTCTTGTGAAATGGTTAGCTTGTAGAATGAAAGACAGTGCAAGTCTTAGAGGTCCTCAGATACGGAACAATCGTCACACCAAGCACCTCAAAAACTCCCCCAAGCTAAGTGTTATATTACTCAAACTCTTTATTTTGATGATTGAATAACAATTCTTTTTATTTCAGCGAACAAAAAGTGTTAGGAGGGCTTCTAAGGGGAAAAATTGGGTGAAATTCTTGGGGCGGCGGCACCAATAAACCCTTTTTACATGTATTTTAACGTCACACAAATAACATTTTCGCTAATAACGGCATTTTTCAGGCACCTATTAAGCGTTATTGGCGAGAGCCTACTGTACATATATTAAAAAAATCCAAAAAACAAAAAATAAATAAATGCAAAAAATATACAAAAATTACCTGTATATACTGTACAGTAGTGGGATTTTAAGCACTGTTCTGTAAGTACGGTATGCACATAGCATGTGTTACGACTTTTGTACAAATCAAATTAAGAACGTCCACAGGAATGGAACCCGTTCGTAACCCAGGGATTCCCTGTGTATGTTGACAATAAGCCAAAGTTCTCGGGCCATTTCGAGAAGAAGGTAAATCAGGCAAATAAATTATTGGGTCTTATAAGAAGATCGTTCAGATACCTAGACGGTCTGTCCCTCGTAATGTCACCCCGTTTGGTCTCCGAGATGTGCTAGGGACTGTCAGTTGGTTGAAAATGTTCAAAGGAGGGCCACCAGACTGGCGCCTGCACTTCGGCACCTCAACTACCCTGAGAGATTGGAGCGCCCGAACTTGCCTAGCTTATGCTACAGACGGGCAAAGGGGCGACCTAATTGAGGTGTACAAGCATCTCAAGGGGCACTACTCAGTCGAGTGTCCTTACTTGGAGTTGGCGGATGCTTGCTCGCCCCACACAGGGTCACAGCTCAAGATTGAAGAAGCCGCAGGGCCAGAAAACTGTGAGGGCCAACTTTTTCGGAGTGAGTGTTGTGAACTCTTGGAACAATCTACCAGAAAGTGTTGTGTCGGCACCGAGAGTGGGCTCTTTCAAGACCAGATTTGACCAACACTGGAGCAGGTTCACGTACATTCAGGAACTGGTGCATGCCCAGTACTTGCCAACAGTGCGTAACAGAGACGTGACCGATCGCCCAAGCGGCTAACGAGCCGATCAGTGGTGAAGAGGATAAAAGAAAGAAAAAAGTAACAGAGACGTGACCGATCGTCCAAGCGGCTAACGAGCCGATCAGTGGTGAAGAGAGTAAAAGTAATGTACCCACCAAAGACTTCCTCTGAGGAAATTCCAGAATTTGGTTGTTTTGCTACTGTGTGTGTGTGAGAGAGAATAGCGATGACTCACACGAGCTTTAGGATGGTCAGCAGTGAGGAAGTCGAGGACGCCTTTCATGATCCAGGATGACGGAGTCTCCCCTGGGTGTACCCGGCCAGTCAACACCACAGCCCGCTTCTTCTGCCAACATTCAACATTTATATTAACATTACGGTCTACAGTGACTCCCCCTCCTATCTAATGGACTACAGTATATGGCAAAGGATACTCTATTATATCAAGGTCTGGAAGATGTGAAACCTTCAACTAACACACTATATGGGAGAGAATAATTCGTCATATGGAGGATTCACTGTACACGCTGAAAGTAACAGTGAAACCGAACCAAAAAACAGATATAATATTATAAATATTTACTGGAAGCAGATAAAGTATTAATAACCTATATGAAGGAAGGAAAAATGATAATGTGTTGTGGAAACACGTTTATTGCTGAACTTGAGAATATAGAATGGATAGATCAGTGTAATTACAGCTGCTCCCTGACTTACGACGGGGTTAGGGGCTGACATCCAGGTCGTAAGTCGGAAATGCTTAAATAATACATAGAAAATCTAAAATGGGGGTCTCTTTTTCCTCTCAGCACCACAAAACTCTCACTTTTAAGCTTGCCAGCCATTATAAAGTGAATTACAGATGAAAATTTTGTCTGTGTACTGACTTTGGGACTCGAAAATACGTAATTTGACAAAATTTTGGTACTACTGAGGCAGGTCGTAAGTGCGGGTGGACGTAAGTCGAGTAGGTCGTAAGTTGGGGAGGAGCTGTACTTGAAAATTATTTCTAGAAAAATTTCCTTGCTTGAATGAAGGTGAGGTGGTAAGGAACGTAGCCTGCGGGGAAAAAGAAGGAATAGTCTAATAACAGTAAAATCATGAAGAAAATGAATAAGAATCAGAAGCGCATAATGGTGAATGACAGGATTTGGACAGACAGTCAGTGATACGGACCATTTCATGTAATTCTTAAACCATATAACCAGGATTAAATGCACTTACCCTTTTGAACTAGAAGAGCTGTTTTATGTAATATGTGGTTTCCATCTGAAAAACCTGAACTGAACATTCTCACAAATTGAATATGCACATGATTGTATAAACAAAAAATAGTATAAATTTAGTGAGTTTTAGCTACCCAAACCCTTAAAAAGAAAGTGTAAAATCTAGTGACCTTGCCGTCTTCCTCTGGCTCTGGGCTGGTGATGGTGAGGAGGTACACTGGGTTGCCAGCCAGGGACCGACACAGCACACGTTGTCGACACACACTCGACTTAAAAGGGTCATTCTGTGAATGTCAGTTAGAGAAAAATAATAATAATAATATAATCTTACATTCACATTAAATCTATTGTCATGTTTATCTATTGCTTTCACTTCTCTCTCTCACTTTTATGTAGGATGGATCAAGGGATATACAGATCTCAAGTAAGATGGTGACACAGGATAGGAGGTAAAGAGTGATAGGAAATGGGTTAAACAACAAACAGAAATACTCCACACGCAATCCTGCATATAGTACTAAACCTGTATAAGAAATATTGTGATCCTAGCTATGAAGAGGGAATCACTACTACACCATGTGAGGTCCCTCATAACACCATCTGTGAGGGAGTTACTACACCACATCAGGTCCCTCATAACACCATCTGTGAGGGAGTTACTACACCACATCAGGTCCCTCATAACACCATCTGTGAGGGAGTTACTACACCACATCAGGTCCATCATAACACCATCTGTGAGGGAGTTACTACACCACATCAGGTCCATCATAACACCATCTGTGAGGGAGTTACTACACCACATCAGGCCCCTCATAACACCATCTGAGGGAGTTACTACACCACATCAGGTCCATCATAACACCATCTGTGGGTGAGGGAGTTACTACACCACATCAGGCCCCTCATAACACCATCTGAGGGAGTTACTACACCACATCAGGTCCATCATAACACCATCTGTGAGGGAGTTACTACACCACATCAGGCCCCTCATAACACCATCTGTCTACATCATAACACCATCATTACTACACCACATCAGGTCCATCATAACACCATCTGTGAGGGAGTTACTACACCACATCAGGTCCCTCATAACACCATCTGTGAGGGAGTTACTACACCACATCAGGTCCCTCATAACACCATCTGTGAGGGAGTTACTACACCACATCAGGTCCATCATAACACCATCTGTGAGGGAGTTACTACACCACATCAGGCCCCTCATAACACCATCTGAGGGAGTTACTACACCACATCAGGTCCATCATAACACCATCTGTGAGGGAGTTACTACACCACATCAGGCCCCTCATAACACCATCTGAGGGAGTTACTACACCACATCAGGTCCATCATAACACCATCTGTGAGGGAGTTACTACACCACATCAGGCCCCTCATAACACCATCTGTGAGGGAGTTACTACACTACAGGGTACATGTTTGCTGGTCAACACCTCAGCCTATGTGACCTACATGACCTCCACTGTATACATCTGTATGTTCACAGTATGTTCCTTTTCCTTTATCTAATGAAACCTTTTGTTATCCCCCCCCCCCCATGTTTTGTATCCAATGAGAAAGAATTATTGTTAAACTTTGGGGCATTGAGATTTTGCAGCATTGATTCATTAATTACAAAAAGTCACAAAAAAAGGCTGCTCCCAGCCTCCCTCCCATATCATACTGGCTGCTCACTTATGAGGTCTAGGCTGTTAATCAACCATGTGAGAAATCTCATGTTCATTAAACTTCATGGTCCTCCAATTCAAACCTAGAAACCAGATGACTATGTACACATATGGCTAAGGTATCATCGTTCAGCAACTGATACACAAACAAGAGTAGCCAAGTCCAAGGAACTTACTATGGACCCCGTTTAGAAATTCTGTTAATAATTTCTCCAGGAGTGCAAAAGTTCAAGGCGAGCCTAAATAAATTCTTTTTAAATTGCATTTAATAAATTGTATTGTTTTGAGACTGTAGAATCATGATATAGTACACATCAACACTATTTACATTATTATGGGTATGTTTATGCATGTGTATGATTTGTTGCCCACAAAAATGTCAGTTGGTAAACAAGTTATAAGGGCTGGGAACAAACCTCTGATCTAAACATCCACCATCTAATTATGACATAAACCCACTGTTGTGTTGCCTACTCCATCCATGTGCTGATGTCTATAGTGTATGAGCTTATTGAATCGCCTACATCTGGTGAAACAGTCACCACAGTGTACCAATTATTAACTTCTTTTTTTAGTTAATTATTCGAGTTGTTAGCTATTTTTATTTATTGTACTGTATGTTATAGTGATATCCCCATTAGCCGGAACAATTGGTGCAGAGCTCTTCCGGGGATGAGAGATTTCTGGCTAACCAGACGACTTTCTCAAACCCGGAAAAATTCCTTGTCCCCGGAATCTTTTCCGGTTACTGAGAAAACTTTCAGAGTGTCTAAACTAGACATCTTCCACAGACAGACACTAGCCCACTTCCCCAGAACGTTTCTGGGTGCTGGGGATGTTTACCTAGAGTCTAAAGTACTGGAGCTCATAAATGCAGTTCTAATTAAGTTGGAAACTTCATTTCTTTACTATAATACAGCTCCTCCCCGACTTACGACCTACTCGACTTATGACCACCCGGACATACGACCGCCTCAGTCGAACCAAAATTTTTTCCAATTACGTATTTTCGAGTCCCAACGTCAGTGATTGCGCTATGTACTGACAAAATTTTCGTTTGTAATTCACTTTAAAATGGCTGGCAAGCTTAAAAGTAAGAGTTTTGTGGTGCCGAGAAGAAAAAGAGACACCCAATATAGATTTTCTACGTATTATTTAAGCATTTTCAACTCACGACCATTTTGACTTACGACCTGGATTTGGGTCCCTAACCCCGATGTAGGTCAGGGAGGAGCTGTAATCCAGAATATTGTAGTTTATCTAAAAGTTTGGTTAAATAAATTTATTTAGAAATTAAAAATCTATATGATATGGACGTGAATGAAGCTGTGTGTTACAGCAAAGACTGGTATTTTCCTTGGAGCTGTGAGGGATTAGTGGGTCTCATGTAACTGACCTGACCTGGTGCAATAAGAACATAAGAACATAAGAATGGAGGAAACTGCAGCGGGCCTATTGGCCCATACTGGGCAGTCCCATTTACACCCAACCCCTGTCATATATCCACCCAACCTATGTTTCAAGCTATCCAGTGTATTCAAGTTAAAGATGATGTTTGGTAACTTGTTCCACTCATCCGCTACTCTATTTTCAAACCAGTGTTTACCTATTTTGTGCCTAAATCTAAATTTGTAAAATTTTTAGCTATTGTTACAAGTTCGCTCCTGGTTGGATAGTTTGAGTACCTTTGTAATGTCACCTTTGTTTAGCCCTGACTTCCATTTATAAACCTCAATCATATCGCCCCTCACTCTACGTCTCTTGGGGGAGTGCGAATTAAGATGCTTTAACCTGTCTCTGTACTCAAGGTTCCAAATGCTGTTTGGGCTCATGGTGCTCGCAGTTGTCCCACCCACTTTTGAGAAACACTTTCAAAATGCATTCCCTCACTTCAATTTAAATATAAAAAATTCCAGATATATAAGATGACTTCACAGATGTAAAGGTCAGATGACAAGACAATAAAAATATTATAATTACAATATAAAGCAAGATATGATGACGAAGAGGATAAAAAAATTACTTAATACCAGGAAAGGATGTCATTTCTATCTTTGCGTATACTGTACTCGACTAATAATGTCCGTTCGCCTCTCCCCCTGAACTAAGAACCCCAAAATTCAGACTCATTAACTTGAAGCAGTAGACCGATACATTATTCTGTCCATAAATGCTTCGGATTCATGAGTCTGAATCTCATGGTCTGTGGTTTAGAGATGTCTTGAATAAAGACGAAAGCTAAAGTTCTCCGTTGTTTCCCTTTTTCCCTGTGATTTTATCAATATTTATCTTATCCATTTTTCCATTGTGGATCTACACGAGACTTTAGTAGTTGACTGTACACAAGTCCATTACAAAAGCCTGTCCTAGTGTCCTACAATACCCAGAAACTTGTAGGTGAGACTGGTCCAGTAATGGAGACTTACCTGGATGGTTAACAAGTGCTCCTGAAGGTCCGAATAACTATAAGGGTAACAGTGAGCAATGTAGACGGTGTCATCATCATGTGGAAAGGTAATGTTGAAGGTCAGGGTGTAGGATGGCACATCATCCTCGCCGTCATCGTCACTGTCGAAACACGCGTTGTCGCTGCTGAAAGTTTAAATTTTCTCGTAAACTTCTAGAAGGACTAAAATAATTACACAATGCCTGTGATCTGCATGTGATGGACCGACAGACTACAGTCATCTGTGGAGATACATTCCGTCTCTCTGGCAATTTGTCCTTTATCTCATCCACAAAATGCATGCTCTCAGTTACTACACTCAACAGGCTCTTGGAAATTAAGCAGTATTGGTTGCGAGATCAAGTCTAAACCGTGGCACAGCAGTACTCTGTCATGACAGATGAACTCAGAACATACTGTAATGTTTTGAGATATTGTTGATGCAAGAGGGTAAAGCCAGGAGAAGGATCCTTGTCATATGGTTAAGCAAATCACAGAAGAAAATGTTCCATTTTTTATTAAGATCATTAACTTGTAATAATACCCCAAAATTACCAGCAATTTCTAGTTACCATATTTCCATATATAATGATGTAACCAGTCAAGACACTTATTTGATCAAATGTGTCTAAATTAAGTTGGGTGCAGTGGCCTTGTGGACACATCACTCACCTCTTGGTTTTTAGTGTCACTGGTTCACTCCTAGGGCGCTCTTCCAGTTTACACAGTATTCCATGGTTACTTCAACTTTCTAGTTAAATGTAGCTAGTAAAGACTTCATTTTTAATGTTAAAAATACTGAAACAGACATTGTTTTTTAGAACTATTATATTGTACAGTACACAGATTCCCCCATGCTTAACAAGTACAGTATAGTCTGCATTTACTCGGCTTTTGTTTACGCGATTGATCATTTACGCGGTGCCTTGCCAGAATGAAAATGCTTTAATTACGCGGTAAATTTGGTCATTTACGCGGGGAGCGGCTGGAGAGGTCCAGACCGCCACACCATTTTCTACCCACGTGGTCCATTCTTGACCATATGTGGGAAGCGGCGCGGTGAGTGGTGCGCATTAGGCCACTCTTACGTTATCGCTGACGTCATATGACGTATTGGACTGTGATTGGGCCACGCATCCTTACCACCCACGCATTCCCTCCGCCGCTAGCTGTGATTAGTTTAATGTAATATGACGTGCCCTGCCACCAGAGGGTAGAAGTCGCTGATCTAGCCGGGCCTGTCTCATTGTTCTCAGTCCGCGTATACAGTTCTCTCTTGTGCCCGCTATTCCCCTCACAATTCACAATGGCTTCCGCGGGACCCCCACCACCAGAGAAAAACATTGAATTACCTGGACCAAGCCATGATAATGTGAAGGAAATCATCGAGTTGGGGGAGAAAATTAAGCTCATCCTTAACAACGACCCAGACAATCATCGGTAAGAAGCGTCTAATAACCATCTGACGAAAGTTATGGAGCCATATATCCAGATCTATCTCGACAACATCAATGCTAGTCGTCAACATAGTATTGAGGACTTCCTCGCCAGCAACCCACCACAACCACAGCCAGCCCAAGTCAGCGATAGTGATATTGACAGTGAGGATATGGACTTTGAGAAGTTTGTCTGGGGCGCCCTGCAAACCTCTGCGAGTTGTGAAAGTGACAGTGAAAGTGAAAGTGATTCACCGGAGGGCAACTAATCTGCCCTCTGCCTCAGAACCAGCTGCCATCCACGTGTGCCGACCCAGGTTTTCTACTAACCTAAGTGTTAAAAACCCTAATATTATTGATATTTCTCTTAATTATTAATTGTGTGTGCATACCATCATAAAATTAAGATGTTATTTTTACTACAACGTACGTATCGTGTCAGAAAAAGTGGAGTTTGGGGGTCGGCCCAGTCTCTATTTCAATTAATCCCATATGTTCTGTTATTTCATTTACGTGTTTCTCGTTTTACACGGGCCTCCACGGGTTCAATTGACAGCGTAAATGCACTGTACTATACGTACTGTATTTACTAATGAATGAGTAATTTTTTCCTTAAAATATCCCTAAAATCACCCAGTACAGTGACCCCTCGGTTAACAAACTCAATCCGTTCCAGAAGGTCGTTCGAAAACCGAAAAGTTCGTTAACCGAAACCATTGTTTCAATGGGTTTTTGGGTTATTGGTTCCAGCTCACCGAAAATTTCCTAAATTCAACAAAAATGGTAGAAAAGTTCACTTACTTTGAGGTGTGTATGTAGAAGGCTCCTGGATGATGATGATGATGATGATGGGAATTACAATGGGGGTGGAGGAGAAGGAAGAAGAGAAGGCATTGGGGTGGAAGAGAAGTCACCCCATGGCACCATTTCACCCATAAAATTTTAGTTCTCTTGGTGTATTTCAAGATTATTTTCTTTAAATCAACACTGTACTGCATTATATATTGTCAATATGTAAAATATATTTCAAAATGACCAATAATTTGCTTGGAAACACAGAAAAAAGCGTTTAGTTGAAGAGAGTCTCAAGCAAGATGTTACCTCCAGTGAAAACAGAGAGACTAACGCCTGTTTGCTGTGTTAAGAGGCTGGATGCTGCGCTTTAAACTAGTCACTTTACCTTCAATTATGTTCAATAATTGTTAAAATGACTAAAAAATTGAATATTAAACTTTTAAAATTATTGAATAGTATAAACTTCTTGATATTTACTAAAATAGTTAGGAATTTAAGCCCTAGAACCGATTAATGTATTGGCGGACTGATACTAAAGCTGGTTGCCCGGCCAGTGCAAGCGAAAACATGTTGAGGTCGGTTCGTAAGAAATTCGTTAACCGAATTGAAGATCCTTATGGAAGGCAGTTCGTTAACCGAAATTTCGTTAACCGAGGCGTTCGTTAAACGAGGGGTCATTGTATCTTAAAAAAATTTATATGCAAATATGTTACTGTTGTTATGATGCATCATGTATTTGCATGTTGGTGAATGAATAATACAAATAACAATCAATATTTTTAAGTTTTGTATAAAAGAAAAATAAATAATGAGAATTTTTTTTAATTCTGAACAGAATAAAAAAATCAATGATTGGTTAAAAAAATATTTTCTTTACAATCATACCTGTCATGATTCTTGAAGTAAATGATGTTGGTGGCACAACGCCTCCAGCCAACACCATGCAGTTCCATCTCTTGATCAGAGTACATAAGAGGTCGCATCCCATGATTATACAGGCTGTCTCCCTTGGTCAGGTTCACGATAGAAAATCTGAGAAGTAATGGTCCCATTAGTACAGTTAGGAAGAATATCTTGACATATATACTGTGCTGTACTCATTATATACTGTACTCTTGATTGATTTATGAGGTTTATAAGAGTAAGATGGGTCATGTTTTTTTTTCCTCGATTGCCATCAGTGATTCACATATAATTCCTAACTCTTGCTAATAAAGGTAAGGTAATAAGATTCTTTTAAGCACTGAGGAACAAATGGTGCAAATTACTAAGAGAGAGAGAGAGCTTGATATGTTTCATGTGCAATAAACTATAAAAAACACATGAGGCATAATAGGAAATGACATCTACACATTACTGTACCCATTTTTTAGTGCAGTTTATCTCTCCATCTGTGAATTCATAATGATAAAGCTGTTTCATGTAGGTAGGTAACAAGGGATATCAAACATAGATCTGATGAATTCACTTTTTATGATGTAATGAAGGGTTTGGGGTTGCACACAATGATGTTTCTTCTCAAGGACATTGTAACTACCTACTGGTAATATGTGACTTAAGTTTGCATTAGACTTGCCAAGCACAATAAAAATATAAATAAAATATTTAGCTGTGTACTAAGAGATGGGGTACATGCCCCATGTATAATATCTGTCTTCCTTCCCCGTTGCTGTCCATACTACTACTATTACTTGTTCTTACCATCCTTGAGATATAATATATAGACAGAGAAAATAATTAATAAAGTTCAATACTTTAGAAGGTAAATATTACTGGTTATACAATATAAGCGATGATTCTTATATACTGTACCGTACTGAAAAACAACCACAATAATTGAAAGTTTAATGTAGTTACACTAATAATAAGCTAGGGTGGAGGTGTCACCTGTAAGTAATATCCTTGCATGTGTTGGAGACAGCAAAGTAGAACCACTGTGTGTGTCTGGAGGTGTACATGTCTGCTCGCAGGTGTAGCTCATAGTAACACTCAGACACCTGCACGGCCTGCACGGAAGACACATCCTCAGTCATTGCTTTCCAACATGATTACCGACACAATTTGAAAGTGTGGCGACTTAAAGAAAAAAACACCCTTTAGGAAAAGAAATTACTGTACTTGTTAGACAATTAAAGCTCACCTTTAAGAAATATGGACAGAGGAATAACAATATACTGTATTTCTAGAGGAAAAAATTAATGCCACAGAATTGATACATGTATATGTATTTATTACGGGGATTAGCCCACCAGGGCACAAGTCACTGACCCACATCGGGGCCTGGGGGGCGAAAATGTAATAATGATAATAATAATAATTCATAGTAAATAAAATTTGTAATAAAAAGTAAAATAAAATATTAATGGTAATAATAATAATAACATCACTGTGATAATAATAATAATAATAAATACAAAGAAATACAAGAATGAAAAAAAAAATAAATAAAGAAATAAATCCATGGTTGATGATAATATTAATGCAGGGCCTTCCACTGGTCGGGAAGGTTGTGGACCCCAGGGCCGACCTGATCATCATCAAACTACTGGGGCCTCAAGTGACGTCACTGCGGTCGCTGGAGGATCGGCTTTTTTCACACTTCATTTTTCCAACATTCTCAGCCTGAGATCCAATTTTCCTTCTGTGGAGCACCATCTATTAACCTCTTCCCCTGATCTCTTACTACTTTCCGAACTTCAACTGACCAAAGCAGCTTCACCCAAACCTTTTCAAGTCTCCAACTACAACCTTCATACCTCTTTCCGTTCTAAGGGAAGTGTATGCGAATACTGCAACACACATACACCTATAGCTCGACTCACGGATCTTGAATTTTCTCTTTATGATGTCATCTGGCTCCAAATATCTCTACCAGCAACAGGTATGACTATTTTTCTTTGTTTCCTATACTGTTCTCCCAACTCTACCAACTATTTGGAACTCTTTGACAATCTCACTTCTTGCCATGAGTCGTTGCTATCCACACACCACAACACCAAAATCCTCTACCTAGGGGATTTCAATGTACAGTCATCCACAGGAATAAGTATTCACACTGTAGCTGTAAGGCCCGAAAATGGTCTGGTAATGTTGAAACTGTGCATCCAGATGCATGATGAAACTCAGCTACCCCTACCTGTTATCTCTAACTATTTTCTGTTTCCCCTTCTTTATTCTTCTATTTTCTCCTCTTCCTTCCTTTACTAATCCAAACATCAATAAAAAAAAGTAGGGTAAGAGAAAAAGTGGGGGAGGAGGAGGAGGAGGGAGCTGTACGATAACTGCAATCCCATTCGGCAACAAGTTACTACTATTGGAAACAATATATTACTTGTAATATAAACACAAGACACTAGTAAAACATTCACAACAAATGTATTTATAACATATATGTAGGAATAAAACATAAATTAAAGATCATTTTGTAATTTTGTCTGTTCAGGACAGTGTTACCAGATATTTTGTCTCAAACACGAACCGTAGGTGTATACTTATTCTTGTGTCCGGCTGTACAGCACAGAGAGTGGCTTTGCTCTGCAAGGGGTGACCCAGGTGGAGTTGAGGCACTCCCTTTTTTCCTTACTTAATGATCTGGAACAAATAATTAAACACCCTCCACGTGTTCCAGATCGACACCATCAACTTACTAACATTCTTGATCTATATTTTACCTCTAACCCCTCACACTATTCATACTCAATTTCCATCCCCTTAGGGTCTTCTGATCACAATCTTATTTCTATTAAATCAAACTGGGCACAACCACCTCCCCCATCCCTCTAAACGCCAACTATGGCACCATCGGAGGGCAAACTGGCAATCCTTGTGAGAATTCTTCTCCGACTTTCCCTGGGATGAATTTGATTTTTCCTCTCGGGATGCCTCGGTATGTGCTGACAGCATTGCTGGGGTTATACAAGGTGGTATGAGTGCATTTATCCCATCTTCCACCAAAACTTTCACTTTACAATCATGGTTTGATCGCTCCTGTTCTCTTGCCTGTAGGGAGAGAGATAGGACGTATCAAGTTATGAAACTATCTCCTTCTCCTGTTACCCACTCCTCTTTCATTACTTCTAAGATTGTTGTAAGGCTATTCTTTATTCGACCAAGCAGAATTATAAAAAAAAAAAAAAAAAAAAAATTTGATGACCAGACTAGCTCTTCTTCTAGTACACCCTTCTGGTCCTTAACCAAAAACATCTGTAATCACTTCTGCACTCCCTCTTTTCCTCTTCTCTTCCGACCTGATAATTCTATAGCCAACTCTCCCCCTGATAAAGCCAATCTCTTTGGCACCTTATTCTCCTTAGGCGATTCCAACTCTACCCCTCCTACTGAACCTATGCACTTTCCTATAATTTCCACTCACAGGGTTGCCGGTGTGTTATCCGCATGGACCGGACGGAATACCCCCTCATGTTCTGAGGGAGTGTGCCAAAATTATGGCCCGTGCTTCCTCGCCTCTTTCGTCTTTGGCTCAAAACCCAAACTTTTCCTTCTTCTTGGAAGCATGCTTCGATTCAGCCCATGCCAAAGAAGGGTGACCATTCTAATCCCTCTATCGCCCCATTGTCCTAACTTCATCCCTATCTAAGATTTTTGAAGCTGTTAAACTCTCATTTTTTCCATCATCTTGAACGCCTTTCGATTTTGACAGATCACCAGTGTGGCTTTTGCCAGGCGAGATCTACTGGGGATCTGGTCTCCTACTGCACCCATCTTTGGTCATCCTCTCTTAGGGATTATGGAGAAACTTTCGTCGTGGCCCTAGACATCTCCAAAGCATTTGACAGGGAATGGCACAAGACTTTGCTTTCTAAACTTCCCTCTTATGGTTTCACTCCCCCACTTTGTTCTCTAATTTCTAGTTTCCTTGAGAACTGATCCATGGCAGTTGTTGTCGAGGGATCGATCTCTTACTCTTTCACTACCAATAGTGGTGTTCCACAGGGTTCTGTTCTTTCACCTACGCTCCTCCTCCTTTTTATCAACGATTTACTTCACACTACTAATAATTCTATCCATTCTTACACTGATGATTCTACTCTTCACCCTTTTTCTCATTTTTCCCCTCCCCTAACTATCAAACTAGATGTTTCTAGAGCTGATATTGTTTCATCTATCAATGCAGATCTCTGCTGCATCTCTGAATGGGGAGGTAGAAATTTGGTTGAATTCAATAGTAATAAAATGCAGTATTTACCAATTACACTTTCCAAAATAGAAGACCTCCCACCTCCCACATTTCAGGACACAATCATTCAGCCAAATTGATATTCTAGGCCTCACCATTTCTTCTATGTTGTGAAAGCCACACATCCAAAACATTGCTAAAGCTGCCTCCCGAAAGCTGTGAATGTTGTACAGATGTTGTAGCTACTTCATTCCTGAACAGTTGCTTGAAGTTTATAAGGGATTCATTCATCCTAACTTGGAGTACAGTACTGCTCTCATATCTCAGGTGGCTCTTCTTCTGTTCAACTGTTAGATAAGGCATTTTGTCTTATTAACTCTCTAAGTTGATAATTTCTCTTCCTGTTCTCTTTGCCACAATGTTGCTTCACTCTCTCTCTCTTACAGTTACTTTCATGGGCAATGTTCGGTGGATTTGACATCCTGTGTACCGCCGGCACGGCAGTCTTGCTCGCGGTGGCCACCATTTATCTTTGGATGTCGGTCACACTAGAATAACCCGTTATAGTACATCCTTCTTTCCTCACATAGCCAAACTGTGGAATGCTCTGCCTTATTCTGTGTTTCCATATTATTACAATCTGTCTCACTTCAAAAAGCTGGTTTTCCGGCATCTTCGTGGTGTAGATTAATATGTATATAGTCTTTTTCTCTTCTATTTTTAATTTCTTTTTATTCTTATTTTCTCACCCCGAAGGCACCATTGTGGGTCGATGGCCTGTGCTCGACATCAACAATTCTGCTGATCGGCTGATTAAGAAGTATACAATGTACTATATCCAAGTGAACTTGTACTCACTTAAGTGAAATAGAAAACTAAAATTAATTCTTCAACTATAAATTTCCATGGAAATGCTATAGAGTATATTTTTCCCCTCTCTATCTCCCAATACAAAAATCAATATAAAGTTCCATACATGCTCATTAAGAAATATTAACCTAAGCTAGACCTGAAATATCAGTTTGCTTATTAATTTTGGTGCATAGCCAAATCTTACCTTTCCCAAATTTCCACACTCAAAGCGTGACTCAAACTGCAGAGTGGTGTCCTTCTCATCTTCAAGTGGGGGACGAACATCTTCATTCAGGTATTTGTTACCTCCTACACATGAGCGGGAGAACTGTTATAAAAGTGACAATAATTTGTTACAAAACTCAGAATCTCAGGAACAAGTAAATCATTTCATCTTCCTGTATGAATACAATATTATAGTTGCCTTTGGGCAAGCAGCACAGACATGATATTACATTTATGGTGTCTAACAAGACAAGGCAATAAATTATGGTGTCTATCAAGAAAAGCAATAAATTATGGTGTCTAACATGAAAAATCAATAAATTATGGTGTCTAACATGAAAAAGCAATAAATTATGGTGTCTCGCATGAAAAAGCAATAAACCATGGTGTCTAACAAGAAAAAGCAATAAATTATGGTGTCTAACATGAAAAGCAATAAATTATGGTGTCTAACATGAAAAAGCAATAAATTATGGTGTCTACTTTTACTTTACTTTTACCCTCTTCGCCACTGATCGGCTTGTTAGCCGCTTGGGCGATCGGTCAAGTCTCTTTTCATTTATATTCTTTACCAAAAGATCGGCTCGCTAGCCGCCCAGGCGATCGGTCACGTCTCTGTCACGCACTGTTGGCAAATACTGGGCATGCACCGGCTCCTGAATGTACCTGAACCCGCTCCAGTGTTGGTCAAGTCTGGTCTTGAAAGAGCTCACACTCGGTGCCGTCACAACACTCTCTGGTAGATTGTTCCAAGAGTTTACAACCCTCACTCCGAAAAAGTTTGCCCTCACGGTTTTCTGGACTTATGGCTTCTTCAATCTTGAGCTGTGACCCAGGGGCGGGCCCGCAGCTCAAGTAAGGACACTCAACTGAGTAGTGCCCTGAGATGCTTATACACCTCAACTAGGTCCCCCTGCCTGCCTGTAGTATAAGCTAGGCAAGTTCAGGCCCAATCTCTCAGGGTAGCTGAGGTGCCAAAGTGTAGGTACCAGTCTGGTGGCCCTCCTTTGAACATTTTCAACCAACTGACAGTCCCTAGCATATCTCGGGGACCAGATGGGGTGACAGTACTCCAGATGGGGAAGCACTTCACTCCTGAAGATCGTTACGAGGGACGGACCGTCTAGATATCTGAACGACCTTCTTATAAGACCCAATAATTTATTTGCCTGATTTACCTTCTTCTCACAATGGCCCGAGAACTTCAGCTCATTGTCAACATACACACCTAGGTCCTTCTCACACACAGTCTCAACTAGTGCATTTTCTTCATCCCGTTGGGACATATGATACGCCTCCTTACCGTTGGTACGCCCCAGGTGCATCCTCTTACACTTCGTGACATTGAATCTCAGCAGCCATTTCTTCGACCATTCCTGGAGCCCACAGAGGTCCTTCTGCAGCTCTTCACAGTCCGCTTGGTTCTTAATTTCCCGAAATAACTTGCCATCATCGGCAAACATTTGTATGGAGGAGTGTACAACGTCAGGCATGTCATTTATGAAACAAACAAACAACAGCGGGCCCAATACACTGCCCTGTGGTACCCCACTTGTTACAGGTACAGATGACGATTTCGTGCCATTAATCACCACACACTGCTTGCGGTCATGTAGAAAGTCTTCTATCCACGCTAGGACATTTCCCCGAATTCCGTACCCTTCCAGTTTGATTTTCAGCCTTTCGTGGGGTACACTGTCGAAAGCCTTGGCAAAATCTAGGTAAATATTGTCGATATTACCACCCCATTCCAGAATATGGGTCCAAATATCCAATACCTTGAGCAATTGTGTTAAGCAAGAGCGCCCCGGCATAAAACCGTGTTGGCAATCTTTTACAAGGTTGTTTCGTAGTAGATGTTCCATCGCGGCATCTCTGATAATACTCTCAAGTACTTTACATATTATGCTGGTCAGGCTCACCGGTCTATAGTTGTTCGTGAAGTGACTATCGCCCTTCTTGAAGATAGGACTCACATAAGCCACTTTCCATTCACTGGGGACCATTTGTTCATCCAGGCATTTACAAAACAGGAGCTTCAGGGGCTCTGCAAGCTCTTTGCACAGCTCTCTTAGCACTCTAGGATGCACCATGTCAGGTCCGGGACTCTTATGGACCTTTAGCCTGGACAGTTTATTTCTAATACCCTCTTCTGTGAATACAATGTGGGTCAGTGCTGTGTCGAACCGTCTGTCCTCAAACGCAGGAAGGTTAGTTGCATCCTCTCTTGTGAACACTGAGGAAAAGAAGCTGTTCAATGCCTCAGCTTTATCCTGGTCAGAATCTGCGTAACTACCATCTTCAAGCCTCAGGTCTCATACTCCTACTAACATGAAAAAGCAATAAATCATGGTGTCTAACAAGAAAAAGCAATAAATTATGGTGTCTAACATGGAAAAGCAATAAATCATGGTGTCTAACAAGAAAAAGCAATAAATTATGGTGTCTAACAAGAAAAAGCAATAAATTATGGTGCCTAACATGAAAAAGCAATAAATTATGGTGTCTAACAAGAAAAAGCAATAAATTATGGTGTCTAACATGAAAAAGCAATAAATCATGGTGTCTAACAAGAAAAAGCAATAAATTATGGTGTCTAACATGAAAAAGCAATAAATTATGGTGTCTAACAAGAAAAAGCAATAAATTATGGTGTCTAACATGAAAAAGCAATAAATTATGGTGTCTAACATGAAAAAGCAATAAATCATGGTGTCTAACAAGAAAAAGCAATAAATTATGGTGTCTAACATGAAAAAGCAATAAATTATGGTGTCTAACATGAAAAAGCAATAAATCATGGTGTCTAACAAGAAAAAGCAATAAATTATGGTGTCTAACATGAAAAAGCAATAAATTATGGTGTCTAACATGAAAAAGCAATAAATCATGGTGTCTAACAAGAAAAAGCAATAAATTATGGTGTCTAACAAGAAAAAGCAATAAATCATGGTGTCTAACAAGAAAAAGCAATAAATTATGGTATCTAAATACAAGAGTACCAAAAATATCATACAGTACATTATATACATACACAATATACAGTACTGTACTAAAAAAATTACCATGGAAAACTCATAGTTATAGATTACACTTTATCCTCATATATATATTTAGATAATTTGTTTTTATAAAATTAAATTGTGAAAACACTGGTGAGCAGATGTTTGGGCCACAGTTAAGTTAGGTTAGGTTAGCTCCTTACCACCCTGGCTCAAACCAATATCTGTGACCCATATGTCCTATATTCGAGAACAATACCAGCCTAGAAGATGTTAACTCACGTAGTTGACGGAGCTGGTAGGGTAGTAGTGGTAGACGAGGCGGCCTAGGTCATCACCAACGGGCTGAGGTCGTAGTTCTGTTCCCGTCGTTTCATAGAACGGCTCCGGATACACTGGCCAGTCCTCTATGTGGTGGACTTTGTCTTCTATCACCTGTAATATTATCATCATCTATCTATTTCCTATAATAATTTGCACATTCTATCAACAATATTTAGTCAGAAACTAATTCAAAAACACTATTAATATGAAATTTGTCCAAGAGAGCAGGAGGGTGTAATACACTTTAGATAAAATAATGTCTTCTAGGTTTGGCAATTACAATATAACAATGATCACACACACACACACACAAAGGAAATATTTACACACCACAACAGTAATAAACCTCTTTAACAAAAGTATCACCAAGATCTGTTAAGAGACTGTCAGTTATTTGAAAATGTCCAAAGGGTACTATTTTAGTGTCAGTCATCTCGGGAATCTTAGGAATTTAGGTTAGATTAGATATAGTACCTGGGTTCTGTGGCTAGGTTAGGTTAGATAAAAATTTCAAAACACGTCAAAAAAAGTCGGAAAAACATAGGAATGACTAAAATTTTACCCAAAAGAGGACCACCAGACTGGTGCTTGTGCTACAACACCTCAGTTACCCAGATATTAGAATACCTGCATTTACCTAGCTTATACTATAAACAGGCATGGGGTGACTTATTAAAAGTTTACAAACGCCTAAGAGGACTAAATTTTAGCTTCAGTAATTGTCATTACTATTTAAGTTCTGCTAACAATTTTCAGTGTCTACTTATGCATGTGTATAATTTCTTTAAGCGAGACCAGGAAAATAAGTTTGTTGCATAAATAGCTCTCATTATATTTTAACAGTAGTGATTTACTCATGTGGTTTTGATATATTATTTAGATTTCACAAGTTTACTAATTTTGCAATTTTGTTTACGAGAATATTTATTGCTTAGTTGTGAATGTGTATTCTAAAAAACATAAATCATACAAAATATGTAATGATATCAGTAGGGAGCTGCACATATTGTGATTATGTCAGAAGTCAGTGTTTTTATTACTCCTTTGCCACAAGAAACAAGGGTAATTTATCGTTTCGGTCATCAAGCAAATTTTATGATTTTAAGTTACCACCGTCCGAGGTTAGGTTATGTTGAAATTATGTTTCTTTGATGTATTTTTATGTGTTTTGAACAATTCTGAACTGCTTCCAAATAAGTTTATGGGGAAACTTTTGTCGTGGCCCTTGACATTTCCAAAGCATTTGACAGGGTATAGCACAAGTCTTTGCTTTAAACTTCCCACTTATGGTTTCTCTCCCCAACTTTGTTCTCTAATTTCTAGCTTTCTTGAGAACCGATCCATGGAAGTTGTTGTCAAGGGATCGATCTTTCGCTCTCTCTCTACCAATAGTGGTGTTCCACAGGGTTCTGTTCTTTCACCTACACTCTTCCTTCTTTTTATCAACTATTTCCTTCACACTACAACTAATTCTATCCATTCTTATGCTGATGATTCTACTCTTCACTCTTCACATTTTTCCCTTCTCTCAAACTCTCAAACTAGATTTGTTTCTAGAGCTGATATCATTACATCGATCAATGCGGATCTCTGCAGCATCTCCGAATGGGGAAACTTGGTTAAATTCAATAGTAATAAAAACTCAGTATTTACCAATTACACTTTCCAAATTAGATAATCTCCCACCACTCACATTTTAGGATGTTATCATTCTGCCAAATTTTAAAATTGATATGCTAGGTCTCGCCATTTCATCTAATACATCATGGAAGCCACACATCCACAACATTGCTAAAGCTGCCTCCCGTAAGCTGGAAATACTGTACAGGTGTCGTAGCTACTTTATTCCTGAACAGTTGCTTCAAGTTTATAAGGGATTCATTTGTCATAACTTGGAGTACAGTACTGCTCTCATATCTCGGGTGGCTCTTCTTTTGTCCAACTGTTAGATAGGGATCCGATTAATTACCCAAATGTAGCCGCAATGAAGTCAAATAATGGCCCTACATGAATAAATGGGGTTACCAATCACTTCTCGACTAGTATTTGGTGTTAGAAGTAAAAAAAAATTGGAAAACGTAATTTAATTTGAGTCAATAGATCGAGTGCATGTACCTAACCTAACCTAACCTCGACTAGTATTTGGTGTCACGAAATCACAAAAAATTGGTAAACTTAATTTAATCTGAGTTAATAGATCAAGTGCATGTACCTAACCTAACCTAATCTAACCTAACCTAACACAACACAACTCTGATTAAATTAAGTTCACCAATTTTTTGTGACTTTATGACACCAAATAATAATCGAGAAGTGATTCACAGCCCGATTTACGCTTGTACGACCATCATTTGACTTCATTGCGGCTACATTTGAGTAATTACTCGCTCCCTCGGTACATGCACGCGATCTATTAACTCAGATTAAAGTAAGTTTTCCAATTTTTTGTGACTTTGTGACACCAAATACTAGTCGAGAAGTGATTAGCAGTCCGATTTATTCATGTAGGACCATTATTTGACTTCATTGCGGCTACATTTTGCTACATTTTGGTACATTTGGGTAATTAGTCGGACTGGTTAGATAGGGTGGAATCAAAGGCATTTTGTCTTCTTAACACTCTTCCTTTAGTTGATAATCTCTCTTCCCTTTCTCTTTGCTGCAATGTTGCTTCACCTACGCTCTTTTACAGGTACTTTAACAGGCAATGTTCGGTGGATTTGGCATCCTGTGTACCACTGGCAAGGCCGTGGGATCGTAACACACGTCTTGCTTGCGGTGCCCACCATTTCTGTGTAGATGTCGGTCACACTAGAATAACCAGTTATCGTATATCCTTCATTCCTCACACAGCCAAATTGTGGAATGCTCTGCCTTCTTCTGTGTTTCCATACTCATACAAAAGTCTCTCTTCAGAAAGCTGGTTTTCCGACGTCTTCTTGGTGTAGATTAATATAACCGGTTAATATATAGGACTAACCCGCCAGGGCTGCATAGTGCCGATGCGGCCGTATCATCTCATGCCCAGAAATGCCTCAAATTTCACCATATCATAGTAAGTTCTTTCTGTTTAATATACCAGGAAAGTTAGGTAAACTTAAGTAGGTTTGTTTGGTTCAGTCTGTTCTTCATACCCACAAATGTTAAGTAGCGTTTATTTTTAAAATATAAATTTTTTAACATTTCCACAAACTACAACAGTGTCCACTATAATATAACAATGAAAATCAGGTGTTTCTAGAATTGTTTTCAATAAATTTTGCTCGCGGGTTAGTCCTAAAAAAAATAACCATATAACTTTTTTCCTTGTCTATTTCTAATTTATTTTTATAAATATTTTTTGCCCCCCTAAGCGGGTCGATGACCTGTGCCCGGGTGGGCTATTCCCGTAAAAAAAAAAAAAAAAATGGTGTCCTCACCTGGAGCTGGAGGACGGTCGCCCAACAAGGGGTCACAGTTAAAGGTTGAAGTAGCCCTGAAGCCGTAAGTCCAGAAGACTGTGAGGGCAAACTTTTTCGGAGTGAGAGTCGTGAACTCGTGGAACAATCTACCAGTGTTGTGACTTGTGACGGTGTAGCAGTTAAAAGTGAAGTCTAGGTAAAAATGAAGTGTTTGTGAAACATATCATACGGCACTCCCGGCAGAACGCTTTGAGATTCGGTAGTGTGCTGAGCTGGTGAGTGGCGACTGATTGTAGCCTTATATTCGACTTTCATGCTTTTTAACTGCTACAACGGCACCGTGTGTGAGCTCTTTCAAGACCAGACTTGACAAGCACTGGGGCAGGTTCAGATACATTCAGGAGCCAGTAAAGTGCGTAACAGATACGCGACCGACAGCCCAAGCGGCTAGTGAGCCGATCAAACAGAGAGCAGCTCGGGAAGCAGCCATCCCCCACCTGGTACGATGTCCTCCGTAAACTTCCTGAACTCTCGTACGTCTACGGGAAAGGGTCACGGAAAGGGGACGTGATTGTTGCCCGTATCATCATTGGGTATGACTTTGCTTGGGAGATTGGTATCCCCGCATCCCCTGAGCAACGCTCTTGTGCATTATGCAGAAGACCCGACAGCCGCACCCTTATCCACTACCTACTAAGATGTCCCCACACACAACGCTTCCGTGACGCCTGCTGGACCACCACTCCACGACCCCCTGACGGAGACACGATGATCCTCCCCATACTGGCCAGATATTATGTAAATAATATTGACTATGTGTTAAAGGAATATCCTTCCTTCCTTAGGCTTTAGTAAGCCCCTTTATAATATTTATACTGTATATACTTGTCACACTTGCCAGATGCTTCTGGTGTCATTGTACAGGGGTACCTAGTGACAGCACCAGGATCCCGCTTCCTCTATCAAGGAATAAACAATTGAAATTGAATTGAGCCGATCAGTGGCGAAAGGGATAAAAGTAAATAACAAAACTAAAGTCTTACTCGTGGTTGGTATGCCTGAGGTGTGTTTGTTTACTTAGATTGGAGCCAAACTCAAGACTACAATTGTAATGGTCATGATAAGAGCTAACCTGAAAACCTTAAGGATTCATATTACGCTCAAACGTCCACAAAACCTTCCGAGTCCCCCAGTGGAAACGTCCCCCGTTTTCTCTGTTTCCCCCGCCTTTGTCTATGGGAGCAGACGCTGTATGCTGGGACCTGTTGCCATCCATTCCTTTGTAATCAATTTAATTCTGCTTTCGATAGCTGAGTCAGAGCATTGTTAGTGAAGATAATAGTAGAGAATGAAAATGAGTTCATAGTCTCAATTTCAACGTCAGAGGGTACCGTAAATTAATTCATTGGAATAGGAGTAGCTGGACTCCCTGGTCTGGTTTGAGTGAGGGCACGCGGGCATTTTAACCGTTAGTAAGTGCCCGTCCCTTCATCCATACAGGTCCCTAACGCAGCCTAGGCCGTGTCTGTAGGGTGGATGTTGTATCCACTATGACTGGGGACATGTCCGAGGTCCAGTAGGATCCGTTACCTTCGTGAGACCCGGCCGTCAGACACTTCAGACCACCTATAGCCCCCATAGCTGGCTCGTCTGGCCCTAACGCTCGGTCCAGCTCGGTCCACGAGGTGACCCTGGACCACCAAGCCACAC